GACACAATTTAATCTTTTACATTCATATTCATATAGCATTTGAAAATAGGATAACAAAAGCATCCCATCATTCATCGTATCGTGTATGTACCAGTGTGACATGCGATGAATATCACACGCAAATTGCAACATGATCATGCAAATTGCAAAATAAACCTGCATTTTTAAAAATCTGTAAAAGAACTACCATTTTCAGTAGTGTCCTTGATTATTTGCAAAACGTAAAATACATGCATTTTTAATGTGGCCAAAACCTCATTCATTTCTGTCTACGTACAATTGAACATTTCTAAACACCCACTGTGTTCATTTCTGTCTACGTATAAGTGAACATTTCTAAACACCCACTGTGTTCATTTCTGTCTACGTACAATTGAACATTTCTAAACACCCACTGTGTTCATTTCTGTCTACATACAATTGAACATTTCTAAACACCCACTGTGTTCATTTCTGTCTACGTATAAGTGAACATTTCTAAACATCCACTGTGTTCATTTCTGTCTATGTATAAGTGAACATTTCTAAACACCCACTGTGTTCATTTCTGTCTATGTATAATTGAACATTTCTAAACACCCACTGTGTTCATTTCTGTCTATGTATAAGTAAACATTTCTAAACACCCACTGTGTTCATTTCTGTCTATGTATAAGTGAACATTTCTAAACACCCACTGTGTTCATTTCTGTCTATGTATAAGTGAACATTTCTAAACACCCACTGTGTTCATTTCTGTCTATGTATAAGTGAACATTTCTAAACACCCACTGTGTTCATTTCTGTCTATGTATAAGTGAACATTTCTAAACACCCACTGTGTTCTATAATGTTATTTGTAAGAACTACATTTGATAGTTGCGTACAGAATGGGATCAATTTTAAACGCTTACAAAACATTACTTTTTCCTGATATCTTCATTGTATATTGAATCCTTGATGATATACCCCAGGTACACAAAAATATAATTTGTTCATGCTTTGTCACCAGCCAATATGGTATATCCTATCTCCATCATATCCAACGAGTATTTTCAATGTTGATTCTGTGTGGATCTAATGACAGAATGTTTTCTGTTATTGTACTCTGCTCCAACACCTCTAACCATTGGGAGAACAGCTTATATGTTTGCTGGGGTTCATTGACCAATCATTTACATTTTATGAAGTCAATTCGAATGATGATTGGCTATTTGTTTTACAGAGCTGGTGCATTACCAATAATGATGAAATGTTGTGAAACTGGCCGTGAAAAAATGCATAGAAGTGTCTCAAGTTTTGTACTTCCTTTATGTGTCTGTTTCAAAGGGGATGCATCAGCCGCATTTATTATGTGTTCTGTTCTGTGGTTAGGACAAAGAGCAGGAATATTCATGTCAATGGCAGAACTTATAGCACTTGGGTGAGTGTAAAACTTTTTTCAGCCATTTAAAAACACAATTCTTTTGCAATAAAGAGCTTCTTTAATGTAGATTCCTGAAGATAATGAGAACAATAGCACTTACTGTAGAATACTTTATTTTGGCTTGGAATTTATTTTCGCTATTTTCGCTGAAGGGATGATTCCGTGAAAATAAAATCCAGCGAATATACTTTTTTTCCTATATTTCACATTAAACTCGTCAAAAATCAGTGAAAATAAATTCCAAGCAAAACGTCCAAAAAGCCTTTTCAGCGAAAATTAAATCCAGCGAAAATAAAGTTTTCCACAGTATATTGTTTAGAAATTAGTCAATAAAATGAAATAAATCAATAAGAGAATATTATACTTCTAGCACTAATAACATCAGAGTTTGTTGTTCCATAAAAAGCGTTATCAGCACTTGTTTGAATGTTCAAATTATTCTTAATATGGGGTAAACTACAACATCAATATTATTGAGTTCAAGGTTATTGAGTTCTCTTGTTTATATTGGATGTAGAAGCACTATAACATGACTGAGATACAATCCCATCACTGACCGCAAACGTTAGACACAGTGCAATAACTTATTCATTGCTATTTCAGGTTATAATCTGTCATATAATATTACTACA